AGGGATTTTCACATTTATCATCTCAGATTTGTCCCCATTTGAGCTACCAAATAAACTTGGGTTATATGAAATCAACCATATCTTGGTAAAACCTCTGAGAAAAAAGAAGGTCAAACATTTTTCTGGCTCTATCACTATAATAAAATGCGAAAAAAGCCAAAGCTCTGAGAAATAGGTTTCCATCCAGGGCCCCTGAAAATGTTCCTAAAATGTACAGTTCATTTTCTAAAGTAATAAAAGAAATAAAGACAGATGCAAACTTGTGATACCAATTTACAAATACTACATAAGCAAATCATTTAAAAATTATAATGTCAAACCAAGTGTAATCTTAACTCCTGAAGTTTTTTTTTTAATTTTTGTAGTTTTCAATGGACAGCATGCCTTTATTTTATTTATTTATTTTGTTAATGTGGTACTAACRATTGAACCCAGTGGCTCAAACATGCTCTGCCACTGAGCTACAGCCCCAGCCCCTACTCCTAAAGATTTTAGTGAAAGCAAAATGAAGACTGCAAAGAACTGAAMATTTTCATAACCTACTGTGCAAAAGAATATATTTTATCCATATGTTCAGCAAAGATGGGGCACCATCGTTAGGGGCACATGGAACACAGCAGGCCTCCCCAATTCCTGCTGAGGGCAGGGCTGTAGCCAGGGAGATGCAGCCTTACCACAGTGCACATGTGAACACACAAATGCCTGCTCTCACACACACACAGAAATAGGCCCAGGGTTTCAATGGTCACCCTCACCTACCCAATTTGCATACACACAGGGACTGTACCTAGAAGACGTATTCCTAGGTTAGGACCATAGGCGCGTAGATTTTAAAAGTTGACAGGCGTGGGGGCTGGTAGTGTGGCTCAGTGGTAGGRTCCTTGCCTAGCATGTGTGAGGCCCTGAGTCTGATCCCCAGCACCACTAAAAACAAAAATGAACAAACAAAAAAGGTTGGCAGCCATTGCCCACTTACCCTCCAAAAAGATTATATCAAATAACACTCCCAGCTCCTCACCAGCCAGCTCCCTGTCACAGTTGCACTTCCTCACCAGCCCGAACTCCAAGGACCAATGTTTTAATCCCTCCCTTGCACACACCCTCCCCAACCTCCCTGACTTTGCTCCTGTTTCCTATTTGACAAATGTTCAGTTTTCCTTCAGCCCAACTTCACACCTACTCCAAGCCTGTGTCTACGCAGCTAAATGTGCCTAGAAAAACAAACAAAATCTTCACTTTAAATATGTGACCAAACTCTGAAGAGACACTAAGAACTGGCTACACGTCCCCAGAGAATTCACCACCTTAGTCTCCAAGACGACCATTTCTCCCACTCTCTCCCCAGACCTCCAACACGCCTCCCTTCCGCATTCACGGACTACCCATCTACCTCCCTCGGTACCCGTCACTCTTCCTGCTTTCCTATGACAAGGCCTGCACTGCCCATCCAGTCCTGTGTTCTCACAGTTACCCCTCTGGAAATGCTCACACTGGTCTCTCCAGCCTGACCCCTGATGCCATATATCCACCTGCTAACCTGATGTCTCCACTTGGATGACCTCCTCTCAAACCTGAAGTGCCCCAAGCAAGGTTCATTCCCTACTCCCCTCCCCCATGCCCTGTCTTCACAGCTCAGTAAGTGGCACTAATGCCACCATCCTTCACCCTACAGCTTGAACCCACACCCTAAGGTTATCCTTGAGACATTTCCAGTCTATCAGCAAGATTTTTTTTTCTTTTTTGGTGGTGGTGCCCAGGGCCTTGCACATTCTAGGCAAGTACTCTACCACTGAGCGACACTCACAGCTCTACTCAGGCATCACACATCTCCACCCAGAGAGACCACTTCAGACTATTCTATCTCAAAAAGGGTCTCCCCCTTCACCTTCTATTCCAATCTCCCACATAATTCTTCTTCATGCCACTTATGAGGTGATATTGCATTATCTACTTATTATCTATCTTCCCCACTGAAATATAAGCCACATGAGCTTAGAAGAATGCCCGGCACAGAGAAAAAGATGCTTAACAAATATTTGGTAAATTAATTAATTTTTTAAAAAATTTACCTGCACATACAACTGTTACATTGTGAGTAAATTATACCTACAGAGAATGACTAGAAGAAAATGGAAAAAATAAAAGTAGTTATAATGAGAAATCTTTTTTTAAATTTATACCATTCTATTTTAACATTATGTTGTTGCTAGAAAAAAAAAAAAAAAGATACTGGCAGGCTGGGGATGTGGCTCAAGCGGTAGCGCGCTCGCCTGGCATGCACAGGATGCTGGGTTCGATCCTCAGCACCACATACAAATAAAATAAAGATGTTATGTCCACTGAAAACTGAAAAATAAATATTTTTAAAAATTCTCTCTCTCCCTCTCTTCCTCTCTCTCTCTCTCTCTTTAAAAAAGAAAAAGAAAAAACAAAAGACAGTGGCTTTTCCAAAAGATGAATGAGGATCTGTCAGTGCCAGGGAATCACTACCCTACTCATGGGTTGTAAGCAGGAGCCAAGCAGCTCCTGGTGTGGGGAGCTGGCCTGGGAATATGAAGGGGCCCTGGTGCTCTCCTGTTGAACACAACATCAACAGCAGACAGAGCCACTCTGCAACCATGATGGATCAAAAATAGACCATTCTGGGGGCCGGGGTTGTGACTCAGTAGTAGAGTGCATGCTAGCATGTGTGAGGCACTGGGTTCAATCCCTGGCACCACATAAAAATAAACAAAATAAAGGTATTGTGTCCATCTACAACTAAAAAAAAATTAAAAATAAAAAAATAAATAGACCATTCTGTAATGACATCTGAACACAGACAAAACAGGAATGCTATCCAAGCCMCAAAACATGAAACACCCCCACTTTCCCGGCTAATGAGGAACTACTGCTTCTTTTCCAGTTTCAGCTTTGGCCCAACCTTAGTCTGTTGTCCCTTAGGTAAGGTTCATTAAAATACTGAATCACAGAATTGTCTCTTTCCAGGCAACATCCAATTCAGAGCAAAGTCCTGATTCCTTCAGCACTCTCCAAAAACACTTAGCACAAGCCCAAATCCCGCCACAAGTCTTTGCAACACACTGTCTTCCTGAGATGCCCATGGTTCCCTATAGGGTGTGCTCTCCTTTGCTGCAATGAGCAATAAAGCCAAMTTGTTCAACTAGACGTGTGCTCTTGGGTTGTCTTTGGCTGGACTGCAGTGACAGTTGTCATGACATCAGTGCCATTACAGGAAAAGTCACAGCAGACTGCTGGAAAATTGACCCAGGATATAATGTCAGTGCTGGTTCTCTGAATACATTCTCTGACACCAGCTGATTTTCTTAGTATYTATGGTCTTCTGTTTCCTAAAAGCTGAGTGAAGGTGCGGGGGGAGGGGGGCCTAGTTAATGAAATGTCCCAGTGAATAATATTAGTTAATCAGGGATGCCCTGCAAGCTTCCCTTCCCCCATTTCTGAAAGTGGTCCAGAGTGCAAGGTTGGAGTGGTGCTGGAGGACTGACTCATGGGCAGGGCCTGAGGCAACACTACTCAAGTACTTTAAGCCACATGTTCAAGCCCAATAAATTAGCCCAGGCTTAAAGAAGTCAAGCTGTACACATGTAAGAATTTTAATAAGCTTGGAAAATGCTACCTAGAGCTTATACACAAGCTTACTGTACCAATGGGATTCCTTGCCACCAGCCACAGAGTGCTAAGCCCCTGACAAGAGCTGTCGAGCACRTGGGGCAGCAGGGACAGGGAGCCTGCTTGGTCCAGGTTTCCTCAGGAGTTGAGGACTCAGAGCAGATGGCTGGCAGCCAGATGGATGGAGAACAGAATAGGGCAGGCAGCTCGGTGGAGCCAACGGCATTTACTAGGAAAACATGCCGAGGGTTTCTTTGGTGGAAATCTGGTCCTCACACACCCTTCTAGAAACTAGCAAACACTACAATCAATGTCTGCATTTATCAAATGCCTGTTTGTACCAAGAACTGTGCTAGGTACAATAGAGAGTTATTTAAACAAACACGGTCTCTGACTTCTAGTTGCTGACACCTAATATAAATAAAAACAATAAATCTGTCCAGAGGATTACCAAACTAACTGAACAAACACRAAATAGTCAAAAGCATTTACCTTATATAAATGCAGCAGAGTAATAATTGAAGGGTAAGTCATGGGAGATGACTCTCTAAACAGGGTGGGGTCTAAATGGAACAGTTACCTTGTTGAGTCTCCAAGAGGGAGGTCAGGTTTTAAGAAAAGCTTCAAGGATTGGCTACTGGGCTTGAGGAAAATGGGCCAATTAGGGAAGAGGGTACAGCTTAGGAGATGACTTAGAGGCAGAAACACAACTACAGAAAGAACCAAAACTGCCCAGGAAAAGGAAAGGTAATCAGTCCAACAGGTGTATGTTTCTCTTTTTTTTTTTTTTTTAAGAGAGAGAGAGAGAGAGAATTTTTTATATTTATTTTTCAGTTTTTGGTGGACACAACATCTTTATTTTATTTTTATGTGATGCTGAGGATCGAACCCAGCCCCCTRCACAAGCCAGGCGAGCGCGCTACCGCTTGAGCCACATCCCCAGCCCAGGTGTATGTTTCTCAATTGGTCTTATTCATGCCCCTTTCTGATAAAAATAAAAATTTCACACCCTCTTTTAAGRTTATTTAAAATTCCAAAACTAAATATACTATCCAACACCTAATCATATCAACAGTGGTTTCAGAATTTGATTTTCCAAATAATAGAAATTRCCTCTTCCCCCAGAAGAGGTAATTTTTACCTGGAAGGATGCCCCCTAACACTGAATTCTTTTTTTTTTTTCTCTTCTTTTTTTTTTGGGGGGGGGGAGGGCAGATACCAAGGATTGAACCCAGGAACACTTACCTACAGAGCCATATTCCCCAGCTCTTAAGAGAGGATGTGCATCCTGGGTCCACATGGGACCAGACAATTAGTAGTAAGCAAAAGAGTTACAGCCTTCGGTGACGCTAACCAGAATTTATAATTACCTGATTAAAATTTTTGAAGGAAAACTCCTTGTAGATGGCATCCCGCTCACTTAATTCCGACCATCCTGCTGCTTTGAGGTCAAGCATAACTTGGTTCCTCTCCTCTGCTGCCAACAACTGGGCATCTGAAGACTACAAAGAGAACACATTTCATATCTGAAAATGTAGAGGTTTATTAAACTCTTTAAATAAACTCATAGCTCTCTACCTTAAGAACAGATGTAGAAAAGTCTCAAGGGCAACAAATTCTAACCAGCTTTCACTTCTTTGTTCTCAAAAAACCCAGACAAAAGAAAGACCAGCTCTATACAAAATAAGCTGCCTCCATAGGATGGCTCTCCCGCCCCTTACTCCTGCCTCAAACTTCACGTTTTGACAACTCTGGTTTCTTATAGACGTCCCTGAGACTGACCACTGCCACTGGCCTCCAGAGACCGTTTCAGAATTTCAGGAGTTGGAAAACTGAGGTAAGAACACCCACTGAAGGAAATTCTGCAAATCCATTGGCAGGACCAGGATTAGAACTCAAAGCTCTGAACTCCTGTCTTAGTGCTCTTCAGGAGGGTCCCCTGTCACCTGGTAGCCTTCATCAACTAGTCATATGGGTTGTAACTATTTTTGATTAATAAGCCCTTTTACCTCTGATAAAAACCAATCCCCAGAGGGAAAAACCAATGTACATTTACATAGAATTTTGATATAATAACTTCTGGGGTCCACAGACCCTCTACTATAAATAAAAAAGACCTTGTCTTGATAGAGTACATTTATTTTATTTTTTTTAGAGAGAGAGAGAGAGAGAGGAGAGAAAGAATTTTAATATTTATTTTTTTTAGTTTTCGGCGGACACAACATCTTTGTTGGTATGTGGTGCTGAGGATCGAACCCGGGCTGCACGCATGCCAGGCGAGTGCGCTACCGCTTGAGCCACATCCCCAGCCCCAATAGAGTACATTTATGAAATCCTTTTCTCAGAGCACCAGTTCAAAAAACTTCCAGGAATGATACTGGCCAAATCATACTGTTATACTGTACTGTGTGCATGCATGAATATGGAACAATAAATCCCATAAGTATGTTCAACTTTAATGCACCAATTTAAAAAAACATGGTAAAGGGACTGGGATTATGGCTCAGTAGTACAGAGGTCGCCTAGCATGCATGAGGCACTGGGTTCTATCCTCAACACCACATAAATGTAAAATAAAGATATTGTGTCCACTTAAAATAAAAATAAAAAATAAAAAGACATGGTAAAAAAAAAAAAGAAAAAAGAAAAGAAAAACTCCCTCCAGAGTTTGTCCAGAGTACTATCCAGTCCAAAGCACAGGGGTGTACAACCCACCTTGCGCCTTCTCCCCCTGGTGATAACATTCACAAATCCAGGTTCTTTGGTAAATGTGCCCACATTTCCTATGACATTTGCTTTTTAACTTTAAAAACTCTAACCTTCAGGCTGGGCTGTAGCTCAGTGGCAGAGCACTTGCCTAACATGTGTGAGGCACTGGGTTCGATCCTCAGCACCATATAAAAATAAACAAATAAAAAAGGGCATTCTGTCCATCTATAACACAAAAAAAAAATTTAAAAAAAAAACCCTCTAAACCTCGCCAGGCACATTAGCACATGCACATAATCCCAGCCACTCAGGAGGTTGAGGCACTCTCAGCAACTTAGCGAGGCTCTAAGCAACTTGGTGAGACCCTGTCTCTAAATAAAATACAAAAAGGTCTGGGGATGTGGCTCAGTAGTTAAGTGTCCCTAGATTCAATCCCTAGTACAAAAAAAAAAAAAAAAAAAAAATCATGGCCAGAGAGAAGGTTAGGTTCTCACTCCAGTATAAGTGCCAACCAATATCTTATGCCTCACCTACTTGCAGAGCTACTGTAGGTTCAGGTGAGAGACTGGCACTCAGAAAGTCTGAACTAATGTTGAACACTTGTCATCAAAGGACAACTGGGGATTCTCCAGATTCTCTGCCATGAAGCTGCAACTCATGCCCACTTCTAAAATCCTAAAATCTTCTATCACTGATATTAATATAGTTAATACTGTTTTGCCAGGTATGGTGATGCATACCCATAATCCCTGCGACTTGGGAGGCTGAGGCAGGAGTATCAAAAATTTGAGGCCAGCCTCAGCAATTAAGGGAAGCCCTGAATAACTTAGTGAGACTGTCTCAAAATAAAAAATAACAATGATGGGGGGGGGAGGCTGTGGTTGTGGCTCAGGGGTAGAGCGCTTGCCTAGCACATACGAGGCACTGAGTTCAGTCCTCAGCACCACATAAAAATAAATAAATAAATAAATAAATAAATAAAGGTATTGTTTCCAACTACACTGTGTGCATGCATGAATATGGAACAACAAGTATCTAAAATACCTAAAAAAGGCGGGGGGGGGGGATATAGCTCAGTAGTAAAACATCCCTGAAAAGAGGAAAAAAGGAGGTAATGAACAAACTTTCTAGTTTTTCTTCCTTGCTACACTTCCCCACAACTAACAAAAGGGAAAAACTAGAATACCTCTTCAACAAAAACATTTGAAGGTCTGTTGCTGAAAAAGCATTTACTATTAACAGCCAAAAGAGCTATCCATTAGTCTTACACSGAGTTCTGAAAAATTTCACACTAAGGTCTACCACAGAAATTAATCTAAAATTTCTATTGAAGATAACTATTTTAAGTCAACTCAGAATTTCAGAAAAGAATCAGAATCTGTGTCCACACTGCATGGTTGGTGAAGAAAACTAAATATGCCTTTGTTGCGCAGTAGTCACTTGACGGCGGTGGAATGAGCACTCTGGCAATGCTTCTCTCTGGTGCCATCCACAACCCCATTGAGATCAGCGGTAGTAACTCTGGCTCATCATAGATGTCTGCCCAGCCCAGGAATCATGTCCAGAACTGTGAAATGGAGTCATTTCATCTACATAACACCTATGGCCCTCTTAAGGACATGAGGACACACCCTCAGCAGAACCCTTCCATGGAGGCCTAGAAATTTTTTAATAGGAGTGTGGGGAGAGAAAAGCACAGGATTTGAAAGAGTAAACTTGACTCAAGGGCTAACTTTGTTACTTTTTACTGTGGGATGCTGAACTTGGCCTCTCTCTTAATTCCAGTGTGTGTCTGTAATGGGGATATATATTATAGTATCTACTTGCCAAGATTTTTTGACAGGTTTAAAGAGAACTTAAATGTGAAGGTACCCAGGAAAGAGCCTGGCATGTGACAGTCACTCCAATTAAATCCTTCCCAGACACCATGATTTTCCGTGGTCACCCACACCAAGAGAAAGGTATGCCATAAGACATGTCTAGCTGACAGTAAGCACTCAAGTTGTTCTCGCTTTCGTGGCTACGAAAGCAGAGTTCTTATCTTCCTCCACCATCCAGCGATTTTAAATTTCTTCTATTAAAGAAATTTGAAACGTGCTCTAACTTGCAACTTGAGGAAATGAAACGGTGCGTTTAGTGCAAAACTTTTCCACTAGGTGGTGCTGCATGTTAAAATTTTCCCTCATGTTAAATTACTCCAAAGTATTAATTTCCACAGCAGGAAAACTGAACACCCCGTCGGAAGTGAGAAGAAAAATCGATGTGTCGCAAAAAAAAAAAGCAATTTATTTATCAATAGTTCCTCCAAAAACTCAGCGCTAAGACAAACCAGCTCACTACCGAGGGAAACAGGCGACTGCCAGCACCCCGGAAGGCCCTGCTCGCCCGGAGCGTACCGTGTCCAGGACCCACCTGCGCCGCTGGTCATTAGCTCACCGAGTGGCCGTAAGCATCAGTTTTGCAACTAATTTTCATGTTTACTTAAAAAAAAAAAAAAAAAGCAACTCGCCCTCTTTGTTTCCGGCTAGGAAGTTCGTAGGCTGCGGAGGAATTTTTAAGCCAAAGGCGAAGTGACACTGCTGGGGACATACTTCCTCCGACCCGCGCGCAGGCAGGTACCAGTTTACGCCCCGGCGCAGCGTCCGAGTCCGCAGGCCCGAGCCCTCCCGCCCCTCACCCGGCGCCGCGGGCCGCCGCGAGCGCTGGGCACTCACCAGGGCCGCCAGACCCGGGCTCCGGCGCCGCAGCGCCGCCAGCAAGCGCCGCGTCGCCCCCAGCGCCCCGAGAACCGCCGCCATGGCGTCCGCCGCGAGCTGCCCGCCGCCCCGGCCGCCTCTCCCCGGCGTCGGCTCCGAGTGGCAGGCAGCGCCGAGCTGCGAGCCCAGCCGCCACGCAGGCCCCGGCGCGCCCCAGAGGCCTGCAGGAGCTGCAATGGCCGCTGACCGGGCTGGGTGCCGGGCGGGCGGACGCGGCGCTCTGTCCGCGTGGTCCCCGCCGAGTGCCGGCTGGCCGCGGCGGGGAGCAGCAGGGCGCTGGGTTTGCCGCGCAGCCCTGACCTCGCCTCGGGCCTCGGCCTGCCTGGGACTCGCGCACCGTCCGACCTCGCGGGGCTCCCTTCTGGGGACGCCGGCGATAGAAGGCAAGGGCAAGGGGGCACGAGGGAGCTGCCCCCTAAGTAGTTAGTTCAGTTCTGGGGACAGTGGATCTTAGTGATTCACCTCGAAACCATGCAAATCAGGCAGCCATGGGTTCGAATCTGTGGTCAGCCGTATCCGTCTTGATAAAGTAGTAAGAGCTGCATCTTTAGCCTCCCCGCGGGCTCAACACGGAGCCTCTCCAGAGACAGGTGAGGACAGGAAAACTGTCTCGTGTATTGGGAGGTATTCTTTCTTTTATGTATTCTATGTGTGTATTTATTAATATTTTTCTTTTTGAGATGTAATTGACAAACCATCAGGTTCACCCTCTAAAACGTAGTGTTTGGGGCATTAACTTGTATTCGAAATAAGCAAATGAATGACATAAGTGGGTTTGGAGAGTTTACAGCAAAAGAATAGATATGTACAAAAGATCGATTTAACCGTTGTGAGCCATCAGTTTTATATCCCACATGGACTTGAAAAAAATATAAAGCCTTTTGCCTCAAAATGGCCTAAAATTCATGGGCTTCTGGCTTGRCCTGCTTTCTTCCCTTTTGCCCACTTGACAAGACATGGCTATCTGAAAAGCAAAACCCAGGGGAAGACTCAAGCTGGGGGTGCGGGATGGGGGAGGCCTGAACATGTCACTGGCAACAGGCATGTAAGACACTGGCTTCTTTCGCAGGGTTCCTGAGGCAGACAGACTACAAGTGTAATTAAAGTTTGTATTTCCAATATTTACACTGGGTGTTTATGATCATGAAAAATATTCTTGAAATTTGCTTATTAAAGTGAGAACTGAAAAATGAACTGCTATGTGTGATTTAACAAATTAGTGACCCTTCATCACTTTCCTTCCTTAACATTTTATGAAAATGTAACATGTCAACTCTAGTCAGGCAAACAGCCAAAGATGGTAAGGGTCAGGGGAGTGATGTCATCTGGTAGGGGCTTTGAATGCTCTGCCTTCACACATAGCTCCCAGATTAATAGGATTTAAGCCCCTTAGCAAAGACTTAACTGGGTACATCTTTTGCAGTGGTCAACCATGTTTGGCTTTGCGAATGTTAGGCTTATCCTGGACTGCTTCCTTTCCTCCTGCCACTTCCCCTTCCTTCCCTCAAAACCAGTGTTTCCTGACAAATCTCTGCATCTCCTCTGTAGGGAATAGCCTTGCTCCTTATTTCCCTCCAGGGGAACCCCACATAGCTGGTCTTAACTAAGTGTTAGAAGCAAGCCATGGATATGCTGGTCATCCTGGGAGCCCTCCCTCCCCTTCCAGACTAGAATAGCAACCCAGTATATATCACAAGGCATGAAAACACTTAAATCTTTTATATATAATTACAACACTGGGAATTTGCCCCCAACAAAATTTGTAATTCTTTTTTATTCCAAAATGAGACTATATGCAATTATATCCAGCCAAAGAAGACAGGTAAGTATGCTAAATCTATTCAAAGGTCTGTTAAGGTTAAGAAAACTACTAGCAACAGTGAGATGTTGGTCATTTGTTAAGCAAAAAAAAAAAAAAAAAAAAAAAAAATCCAGTTGCTAAATTTTAACAATAGTATGACTACAACACACTGGAGAAAGCCTAGAGGGAAAGGCAATCAGTGGTTACCTGGGACATGGTATGGAGCTGGGGAGAGTCCCATCTCTCAGAGGTTCTAGAGTAAGAATGCTTATGTTTGAAGCTTGGTCCCACCACTGGAAGAGCAAGTTCTGGGGGCCTCCTTTTACTCTTTGAAATGAGGCTATTAAGAGTATCCATCTCATAGGGTTATTTTATGGATAAATGAAACAATATGAGTAAAGCATTTAAAATAGTACCCAGCACTCACAGTAACAGTTGCTCAAGTGTTACTATCACAGATGGAATCATTAAAGTTTTTTTGTTTTTTTTTAATAACTGGAATTACAAGTATACTTGTGAAGTTCAAATCCCAGCTTCATTAATTTACTATCTATGTAGCTTCAGGAAGTTACTTAACCTCTTTAAACCTCAGTTTGCTTATTTGTAAAATGGACACCATAATGCTACTGTCTTGAGCTATGGTCCCCTTCTGCCAGTGGACATCCCAACCATGGCTGTTCACAATATGACACGTAAAGCTGTCAATTCTCATTCAGTGTAACACTCAGGAAACCAAATTCTGTAGAATTTAGGGTATAATGATATACACATTAAACTATCTAAAACACTGGAAATAATTAGTACTGTGATTACAATATGCTTTAGCATGGAACTAATACATTACCTTGAGTTATAAAAATATTTACTTTGCAAGGCATGGTGGTGCACGCCTGTAATCCCAGCTATTCAGAAGGCTAAGACAAAAGGAAAAGATGATCACTAGTTCAAGGCCAGCCTGGGTAACTAAGAGCCTATCTCAACATATATTTTTTTTAAACTGGGTACGGTGGCACACACCTGTAATCCCAGCAGCTCCAGAGGCTGAGACAGGAGGATCAGAAATCAAAGCCAGCCTGAGCAACAGCAAGGTGCTAAGCAACTCAGTGAGACCCTGTCTCTAGATAAAATACAAAATAGGGCTGGGGATGTGTCTCAGTGGTCAAGTTTCCCAGAATTCAATCCCCGGTAGCAAAAAAAAAAAAAAAAAAAGATCAGGGATGCAGTTTAGTGGCAGATTACTTGCCTAGTGTATGCAAGGTCTTGTGTTCAATCTCTAATACAAAAAAAAAAAAAAATGTTTTTTTAATTACTTTTTCCTAACATCTGTCTTACCTAGAAACAAGTGAAATCACTTTAAATTCTTTCAGTGAAAGCAGAGATCACAAACACCAAGATATTTCACTTTTTTATTTTCCATCAGTTGCAATTTTAGGGATACACTGTCAGTTCTAATTATTCTTCCCATAACAAAACATGTTCCTGCTTAACCAACTCTGGAAGAGAAACTGCAAACAGAAAACCAACTTTCCTAGACATACACAAGGAACCAAGAATTTTCTATTTCTGCCTTGTACACAGTAATTACAATGGCACTATACTTATTATTCTACCATAATATGTCTTCACATTTCAAACTGGATTATTCCTAAAATATTGGGTTATATTCAAGCAATAAAAACAAGAATAGTAAGTTCTAATGAATATTTTTGCATCTGCTTATTCCAAAACTAGTTAAAACACCAGTTTGTAATTCTTTTACCCATTCAACAAAGGCATGATTCTTTTAACTTGACTGAAGTTGCAAGTCAACACTTCACTGGAGAAAATGTATGAGATTACAGCAATAATTTCTGAAATGAAAAACTGCAAGTTCTCCTCTCTTTAGCTTCTTTCAGTCCATCACTACTCGGCATGTTCCTGCTCTTGTCCTGGAATTAGCCACCGAATACTCTCAGTTCGAATGGTAGCATACATAATAAAACTAATTAAAAAGAATAAGGAAAATACGAGCAACCAGTCCACGCTTTTTATCAAAGTGCTGGGAAGAGGGCCTATTTGGTCAGCTTGAGTTACCACTACATTTTTCTTGGCTTCTATACCTGAAAGAAAAATCAATTGTTTCAAACCAGAGAGAAAACACATCCGACACAGATTTTTTTGAAGTACGATGCATGGTATGCAAAATGACATGCAATCCTAAAATAAACACCACCGCTATTATATCTGGGATGAATTTCACCTGCTTGTCAGTATAATTTGTAGCTTGCCTTTCTCCCCACCACATCAAAGGATCAGGAATCCATTCAACTATTCCAAGCTAAAATTCCAGAATTTCTGTGGACTCATCAGAGATTTCTTAGTCAATGCCTTGTAGGAGCTGCCTTTTGTTCTCCTGAGACCAAAGTTTAACAAGCAACTAGTAAAGCTACTTATTTGCAGGAGTTCACAGAATGTTTCCACATGTTTAAGTAATGCTGAATTCAAAATGTTTTTAAATAAGTTACTGAAAAAATTGGTAGAACTAGCAACTATTAGGATTGGTAATCACCAAAGACACTAGGACTCCTAGATTTTGTGTGTTCTACATTTTCCTAGAGCAGTGAAGAAAATGGCTTCCTCTCCACACACCAGTCTGGGATCCAGTACTAGACCTGGATTCCTAACCACTTTGTGGCCCACTTGCACACCTCCAATTAACTTAGCACTTTGCTCTTTAGTGTTAAGAGAAAAGTGATTGCATGCAACTCACTATATATGGGAAGTGTGTTCTAATTTGAACTTATTTCCACTAAGTACACTTCAGAAAGAAGGGATACTCTTAGTTAAGACAGTAAGGCTTTTGAGTAGTTAAGTTTTACAATGGAGGAAATTTTCTTCAGTTTAAATGCTCAAACTCTTACAAAGAGTAAAAAGTGAAGTTGTGTTTGTTTGGTTTGGTTTGGTTTGATTGTTTGCAGTGCTGAGAATCAAACCCAGGGTCCTACACATGTTAAGAAAGTGGTCTTACACTGACCTGCACCCCAGCCCTGGCCATATGTTTAAACATTAAGGAATTAAATTAAAGAATTAGAATAACATCTGCAAATGGATTAATAAATGAATGCCAACAAAACAAAAACAATGCAGACATATCTCATAAGCATAGTAGTTGGACGAAATAAGTCAGACACCCAAGAATATACACAATACATCTTCACTAATACAAAACAAGTAACACTAGACTGGTATGGAGTCAAGACTGGCTATCTTTGCAGAGGGGCTATTTTGCTCATGTGTTTCTTGTACCGAGTATGGGTTACTCAGGGTATAGATATCTTTTTACATACATTTTCAGTTGTATGTAATGTTGAAATTTCACTTTATAAAAATTCATCACCAATGATTTATGTAATTTTGTGTAAATATTAAATAACTAAAAATGAATATAAAAAGGTGTCTATAGGTAAAGTGTATGATATATGAATTATATTTTAATAAATCTTTTTTTTTAAATGGTATCTATAATCATTAAATTACCTACTCATGTTAAGCTTGCCACTGATGGAGAGGTATTTAACAAGATCACGAGTTCGTTAGAAAAGAACTTTAATTAATTAATTAATTAGTTTTTAAATAAAATAATTTTGACACTTTAAAGTCAATCTAAGGATTTAAGCAAATCAAAAGGTATACACTGCCAGGCGCAGTGACGCATGCCTGTAATCCCAGTGGCTGGCGAGGCTGAAACAGGAGGATTGTGAGTTCAAAGCCAGCCGCAGCAACTTTAAGACTAATAAGCAACTCAGTGAGACCCTGTCTCTAAATAAAATACAAAATAGGGCTGGGATGTGGTTCAGTGGCCCTGAGTTCAATCCCCAGTAACCCCCCAAAAAGAAAGGCATACACCCCCAGAAGTAAGATATCTTCTTCCCCAGCATATTATTGCTACATACCTGTCTGGTTAAAAATGAAGATTTTCAGTGTTTCCAGTGTTCGATCTGTATGATTGAATCTAGCCATTGGTTTAGCTCCTTGAAATAACAAAATGTTAGGAACAGCTACAGTGCCAAACCTGGTAGAAAGGCTGAGAGAAAGAAGTCAATTAGAAAACCTGGGGCTGGGGATGTGGCTCAAGCGGTAGCGCGCTCGCCCGGCATGCGTGCGGCCCGGGTTCCATCCTCAGCACCACATACCAACAAAGATATTGTGTCCGCCAAGAACTAAAAATATAAAAAAAAAAAAAAAAGAAAACCTGAGTTAATTAATAGCAAGCTTTCTCATATCAGAATGGTGGAAATAAATGAGAAAGGATCAGTTTTGTGTGACCTGAGGAGATTTCCGATATTCAAATTTGAAGCTTTCAGTTTTTTCTTGACCTCTTTCCTTATGGGTCAGGATT